AATGTAGTCAAACGTTTCAGAAATTAGGAAATTATCAAATTATTTATGAGAAAAATAAATTCTACACTCCCCCTCCTGTATCGTTTTTACAGTTCCGTAGAGGTAAATAGTAACTTTTTTATGTTTAAACTTTAGTAATTCAAAATATACTTTAGATAATTGCAGCATCAGTTGAAATACTATATCAAAACCATAAATTTTGTGAAAACATCCTTGTGTTTCTTTATTTCAGAATAGGTAATATCCCCTCTTTTAACTTTCGTGTAGATTTAATAATAATAAAAATAATCGAACCTTTCGTTTAAAAACTAAACAAACAGCCGTTAGTGTTTCTTGATATGCGGTAACAGTGACAAGGACTTGACTTATCTATGATGGTGAGTCAATGTCGTCATTTTTAAATTGTGATAATTTGCTTGTTTTTCGATGCGTGCTTTTACTTTATTTTATGTTTTATTTATATATCAGTGCAGTAAATTCGTTTCTTTTTATCTATTTCTGCAGATTGACGATAAGTGAGAAAGGAAAGGAGTCGTTTACTGTGATATTATGCTTGCTGGATTAACTGACTCTATCAGTCCTCTATCACTCAAGGATGTAGACTGCCTTATTCACCTGGAAATAGAGGAAAAGCATTATTGTTTAAGGAAGGATTTGTGACAATAAATTGGTAAGTGACAATATTAATTTATTCAACTTCTTAAACAAAACGTTTACATTAAAATTAAAATAATTACCTACCCTTCCTTTTGAACCTAAAAATTTGAAATCTCCTCGGAAATTACAACTTATGAGTGTTATAACTTCCATATTATTCAAACTTATTTTCTTACAGGTTTTTATAGGAATTTTGTCTATCCCTTCCTTTCAACCTAAATTATTACAATTCTGTAGATAAGTTACAAATGCTGTAACTTGCATATTATAAAAGATATCTTAATCAGATTTTGATAATTTTGTTTGCAAAGAACGTGGACAAAATTTATAAAGACAGAATATTTATAAGGGTGCTCTCATCCTTTTAAAGCTAAAACTTAATAAGACAGGAACAAAACATACAACGTCAGATTTTTACAGGGGTTCTCCCTATCCATTCCTTTGAACCTAAATTTTTACAATTTTCGGTAAATAACTTACAAATGCTACAACTTGCTTATTATTCAAGATATATTTCTCGGATTTTGATAATTTTTTTTAAGAGGACATGGACAAAATTTATAAAGACAGAATATTTGTAAGGGTGCTCTCTACCCCTCCTTTTAAATCTAAAACTTAATAATTTTGTTTGTACAAGATAGGGTCAAAACATGCAACGTCAGATTTTTATAGGGGTTCTCTCTACCCTTTTCTCTGAACCTAAACTATTACAATTTCCGGTAAATAAGATACAAATAGTGTAATTTGCTTATTATTCAAGATATATTTCTCAGATTTTGATTTATTTGTTTAAAAGGACTTAGAGAGTATTTATAAAAACAGAATATTTGTAAGGGTGCTCTCTACCCTCCCTTTTGAATCTCTTGCAGAAAAGTTACAGGTGTTATAACAGGCATTTTATTTAAACTATAAATATTTGTCATAATTTTATAATTTTGTTAGTAGAGGACGATGACAGAATGTCTAAAGATTGCTTTCGAGGATGTTTTCTACCTTTGAACCTAAACATTACAATTAGATAGAAAAAACTAAATGCTTTCATCATCATTATCATCATCATATGGCCGTCAGTCGTAAGACAAGAAATAAGAAATCTTACTAATTCTTTGCGTGTTAAGGTTAAGACAAAATAGATGTAAAGGAAATACCAATTTAATTTTTAAATGTAAATAATACAAAACTTGATCTGTATATGTATATTTTGAAATACAATATGTAGGTGAGGTATAACGTTGTAAAACAGACACAATACTTTTGTTATAGATATTTTTTTGAGTTTGCGTTGATAAATATTAATTTATTATGTATTTTCACTCAAATATGCAACAAAATTAAAGTAAAATTAACACAGTAGGAATGAATAAAATAATGATGATTTTGTTTGAATGTAATGGTCGAAATATTTTTCTAAATCAGTGTATTCTCTGATGATTATCGTTTATTCTTTATTGTGAAAGCGGGAAAAAGAGTTATGATACGATCTGCTTTATACTTATTTACACCGTATACTGGTATGCTTGTCTTCGTGCTGTTATCTCTTGAGATTTTTTGCTTGGTGTGTTGATTCATATCGTTTGAAGGATACTCTGCAAAAATGATATAATAAATGCTAATACAAGCATTAGGACAAAGAAATGTAAAACGAAAATATAGGAATACGTATGTGTTTTAATAACTGAATGTTTTCATTTAAAAATGTACTGATAATTACAATTCAATCTTTGATTATTTATTAACAGTAATTACATAATTTTGCTGTCATTAAGTACTACACAAATGGTTATTTACTGTGAAATTTCTTTTCGAAAATATTCAATTTCTTTTTTTTTTGAAGTACGCAAATATATCTATTCTTATTAAATAGGTATTAAAATCTTTCATCAAGAATTTTCAGCCAGTTATTCTCTTTAAAGATTGTATTTGAATTCATTCATAACAATCCAATTTTGTGATCAGTTTTCCCCTATTACCCAGTTGAGAAGTGTTTAGAAGTGTATGTGTACGAGATTAAAATGTGAAAGTATTTTTAAGCAAAACGATTTGAATTTGAAAATAATGAAATAAAGCAGAGCATTAAGTACTTTTTAAATAATAAACATTTATTGTCACTATAAGAAAAGGGTAAAGTTAAAATTTAAAATCTAAATATGTGTGAATAAAATGGATTTCCTTAATTTAAAATCGAAATTTACTTCATGAAAATTCATTAATTTCTAGGAAATTATATTATTCCCGATTAACGATATAGGGCATTTTTATCAACACTAAATAAAATCAACATAAAATTGTGTAAAAGTGTATCGCCCACTTCTTTTTTATCCGAATGCTCATCATTCTCTTTTCTTGAACGGTACCGCAACGCTGTTGTTTTAATTTTAGCAATAAATTAAAAGTTTGTTTTAGAAAATTAAATTGTTTTTTTATAAGAAAGTTAGTAGTTCAGAAACTCTCCGTAATACGCTCGTCGAAGTCGCCAGTACTATTTCAGAATCGATCGTGGAATGGACGCACACGGTGATTGATAGTAATAGATCTTTAGGTCTTCAGTACATCGTACGGAGTCTCCTTCGTGGATATTTATTGCGAAAAGCGTATACTGTATAATGTGATATGTTTTTTTGTATTTCCATAGCTTAGCACAGTGAGTTTTTTTTACTGTTACCTCAATCGATAATGCATTAATCCATCTTTTATTTATCATTTTCTGTAGACGTTCGGGTGTAAATTTTTTTTTATGGGTTTTCTTTGGGGTGGACAATAATTTGCTACAACGCTCTCATAATATTTAATTTTTAGCTATTTTATTTTCTAAATATTGTAACAATTATATTTTCCACACGGAGAAAACTAATTACAATTTTAGATTGTATCTCCCTGTATCTCCCCTTTAAAAGTCTATAGAGATGTTTCTTCTTTTACATGGAGAAACCTAAATTTTTATGACAACCCAAAAATTACAATTTACGATTATAATGACTGAATTTACCGTAGCAATAGTAGAATTTATTAGGTAACTTGTAATAATCTCAATTTTGACATGCTTTTTTAAAAATTACTTCAAGTTTCTTAATTATTACAATTTAATTTGTAATATCAACTAATACACCTAGTAAATTTATTTCTGCTGGGATTTTATTTTTACAAATTTGGGTCCAAATTGTAATTTTTATTATTTTCGCTT